TCACGTCATTTTGTTCTGTGGGATCTTTGCTTTTTGATCCAGTTTCAATTGCCCAGATGTTCATTTCATACAGTTAACTTTATACAAAGGGCATCCTTTGTTCCAACAAACACATTGCGGTCATTGTTCTCAGCTGAGAAACTCATGCACAGCAGTTCACCTGTTTCCTGTGTAATCCACCATCAATCTACCAACCTTTGTGCTGATTTAGTGTAAAATCATTCATCGGGGAGAGGAGGGATAAGGAGGAGAAATTATGCAAAAATGTTTCCTGGTCCCTAGCCTCAGATTGATTAAGGTCACGCTGCAGAATAAAAAGGTGATAAGAAATGGGAAAGCTCTTTCATCTTCACCCTTTTGGTGTGTAGTGGAATGGAAAATCACATTAGTACCTTTAAAGTTTTGCTCTGGTGTCTCAGCATGTATTAATGAAGACCTAAACATCTTCGAGAAGGAACCTTATTGCCACTCTACTCCCTTCCCTATTGCCCCCCTTAAGGGCTTCACGTCAAGGCAGAGTGCTTGCCAGTCCCCATCAGGGTAACTGTCACGTAATGAGAAGCACTGCTTCATAATGCACCCAGGGGCCAGAGGATCACCCGACTCCACAAGATTTCAGGAGGGACAGATCTCAAGGTTATTCTAACTGCAAGCGTCCCACATAGGATAGCCCGTTTGCTGTTTGTTAAGCCACGTGGACATCGCATAGACTAACTGTTTAGTTTAACCTTTAGAGCAGTCATGGGAGCTTGGTTCATGAGCAGAATAAATTCCATGGAAGGCTTTGAAAGAAGATTGTATGTATAAATGCACTGGCTGTTGCTAAAAGATGCGTGGAAGATGAGCAGTGGAAAACTGGACAGGGATTGAGCAAGTATATCATGTAAGAAGGGTGTAACTTGGCAATATGTATCTGTGAAGGTTTTAAAATATCTATCTTGGCCAAAAGAGGCCTTCCAAACGACAGGCATGTAGCCATCTTGAGCCCAAATGTTCCTAGAAAGATGACCCTACAAAATTGTCCAGGCTACTGGCAGGGATAGCATTACTGGCAACATGCACAGTGTTTTAATGGCCAAGGCTGAGGCTTAAGAGGAGCTACACTCCACAGCCCTCAGCAGGCAAGAGGAGGCAGCCTGGAGAGGAGCTGGCATCAGGCAGTGATTTTTAACATTTCTGTCATTCAGACAGCTGTAAGACTGCTGGGCAAGAATTGCACAAGGTTGAATTTTGGTTTAATGTGCTGATGTGATTTGCTGTGGCCCCGTTGCAACTCTCTGGTGCCTGGGCCAGGATATCCAGAACATCTACCATATTCTTCTTATGCAGACCTTGGGAAGGGGAACTGCAGATGCCAGTGTCTGCTCTGTCTGCTCAGCTTGGCAAGGAGGAAAGCAAGCAGGTGAGAAGGAGAAAACCAGGGGTCCTGTCTGGTTCTCACTATCAACAGTGGATGGATAAATAGAAAGGTACAGGTTTTTGTTTTCAGAACACAATGTTTCCCATGACTGGCCCTGCTGAAATCAGTGAGCGGAGATGGACACTACTCCATACTGCAGCACCATAATTCTCCATTTCTTTCTCTCCTCAGTCTATAGATGCCTTGGCACAGCTGTAAATTCCCTGAACAATGCAGAGCATGGCTTTCACTGAAAATAGCTGGAAAAACAACATTTCTGGAGCCTTATTCCATTAAAAATATTTTTTTTTGCTTCTTCTATGCATCTCCCTATTTTTCCCTGGTCAACAAGGGCTGCCTCCAAGCAGCCACCTGCATTCAGTATCAGTCATGTGGAATGCCCATAAACATCACTTCCAGACCGTAATAGTTTGGTGGAAATGAGGCCAAGTGACCAAACCCCTCTACCCTTCCCACCAGCACACTCCAGCAGTATGATCAGGGAGGCTTCCAGTTCAGGATTTGTACCTTGATCTGTCACAGTGACTGACAGCAGCTACAAGGAGCTCTCTGGGGCAGAGGACTGGGAGGGCAGGTGGGGAACCTGTGTCCTGGGACAAGCTCCAGTCTGCTCCAGGGAATGTGCTAATTTTCACTCCTTTATAGTCCTTTATCTCAGCCCTTGGACCTTGAGCTCAGCTCAGAGGCATTATCAGCCTTAGCCAAAAGGCAGCATGGAGTTAACCATTTAAATGCTGAATGTTTCTGATATTAAGTCGTGAAGGTAAAAACATGATGAATGCAACTTATTTCAATGGTGCAGCAAGTTAGTGGACTTTTCAGGTTTGGGGAAGACTGATTTATGTATTAGGAAAAACATTTTGTACTGAATAGATGATTTTGTGAACCACAGCAGTTTTCAAAGTTTTAGGCCCCTACAAAGTTCCTAGGGCATGTAGAGATCTCCTGTAAGAATGTGTCATGTATGCATTGCTGTGCAGTGTGTATGAACTCGTTTTTCTTAGTCACCTTTTCATCCTTACCTGGACCCAATTATTGATATCCAGAGTACAGGCAGAAAATTACTGGTCTTTTGCTTTCTGTGGGGTGCCTACTATCATGGTAACGCTTAAATTTTCGACTTTACAAAGTAGTATACAAACTCTTACCAAAAAAAAGAAACAAACAAAAGGTAATTTCCTGGAGCAATCTAGATTAATGTATTGCCAGTTCTGCTACTGACTGCCCTGGGTGTCTTTGGGCATGTCATTTAACCTGTGTGTCACTTTTCATGTTTGCAGAATGAGCTAAGAATACTTCAGTGGGCCATTGTGGCTATTAATGAGTTACGAATGTGCTTATGTACATGTGTGTCTGGTTTGGCAAGATCATCTTCTCTGTCTTTGGTGCCTGACAAATACTATGCAAGCAAAGTAATTCCTTTTCCTTACTGGGAGTGAGTGGTCTTTCTATGAGCAGCAGCAAGTGGGTAGAATTTCTTTGAGAATATTCCTGCTTAATCAGTTCAGTGTTCATGGAGTTAATTTGCTCATGCCTTCAGATTGTTTTGTTTCCAGGGATTCTAAACCATTGCCTCCAGCTGTTCATTTCCACTGAACAGGGGTGATCTTTATCTGTCTAAACTAGTTAAAACCTGCTTCACTACCCGGCAGTCTTTTTGGAGACAGCCCAATAAAGCTGAGCTTGGTGGCTATGACACCAAAGCCTCCTGGACATCATAAATTCCAAGCCCTGCTTTTTTTTTTCCTGACCTCTTACTGTTGGAGCACCCCTCCTGTTTTAATGGGACTCTTCACTTCCTCCACAGCTCCATTTAACCCTTGTCCAAAACGGGGAATGATACTTGCATTGTAAGTGGTCAGTGAAGAATCCCTTTTAGACTAATTTACTACTTTAATATTATCAGATGAAGCCTTGACATAACCTCAATGATACCATTCGATCAACTGAAGCGCTGTTAGACTTGCACTTAGACTCTGCTCAGTGTGCATGTTGCTTGAGATGTTTTAGTTGAAGCATATTTTTTAAATGTGCTCCATGTAAAGCTTGCTGTGATGTGGTGGGACTTGTAATACCTTTGGGGTCAACAGGGCCACATCCTCCTCAAACATGAGATGTGAAAGTTTTTGTCTTGAGCAGATGAGATGCAGGTTTGTTAAGTTGATGAGGCATCCACCAGATGTACCAAAGAGTCTTTCCTGTGATGAAATTCAAATGTCTCGTATACATCAGGCAAAGATGCTGTCTATACAACAGGGAATTGCACACAACAACAAAAATTTCTGTTGTTGCTAATGCCGCTACAGGGACCATAGCTAGAATGTGTACACTAATGTAGAAATGCCTTCCCTTGTTGCTGGGGTCTCTAACAGCACATTATTTTGGCCTCTGCTGAACAGGAATAAGTTACACAATTGGTAAAATGCTAATGCTCAGTTTGTACTTTATATTACTACTACTGTTAACAGCAGTGGGAAAATTTGTGGCCAGAAGACCTCTCATGAAGACCCAGGCTGAGCTTTACTTTGGAATGTGCCATGGAGACATTTTCCTGTTGTTTTGTTGCAGATGTTATCATCCTTGCTGTCTGGGGAGTCAGCAAGGCCCGAAGAGTGTTGGAGGTAGCGTCCCTCCTCTCTGCAGCAGACAGCTGGATCGGTTCAGATCCAAACCCCTGTGTCTGTGAGAAGGCTGCGTAGTCCCTTTTCTGCTAAACCACCTCACAGCAATTATCAGGCTGTCAGAGGAGGGAAAGGGTCTGAGAAAAAGACCATTTTAACATGTCATTATTGGTGTTCAGCAGCTGTGTGTTATCCTGTTGTTACTAGTAACCTTTTTAACTTTGCAAGCAGTGTTTTCTTGGCGTCATTCAAACATAGTGACTGGAGGGTCAAATTCAGCTCTCAGTTGTGTAAATATGGGATCATTCTCTTGGCTGGCCAGTGTTATTTTGCATTTGGCTTATGGTCCCTGCCCCTAGAAGGCTGCAATCTAAAATACCCAGGCAGAGTATTAAGTCACAGTATGCTTTGCATACCCAGTTGGTATGCAAAGCATAAAATAAACAGATGAAGAACTACTGTCAAATCCATGCAATATAATTATGGCTCTGTTGTCCTCTGGTTGAGGTTAATGGGTTATTCCCGTGTAAATGGGAGCAGGAGTTTGCTTGTTACTTTTCACATGTAATTCACCAGTAGATTATGATTGGAAAGTCTTTCAGGAAAATGTGTTTTAAAAGGGGTTTGAAAGAAAGAAAGAAATTTGATTGGGATGACTAGAGAACAAGAATCACTGAACAAAATAGAGGTCGCTTGAAGTAAAGCAGTCAGAAAGTCTACCTTAATGGCAAGAAGAAAGGGACACCTCGGCAAATCTGTAATGAAGGTGTTGTAACTGCTGTTTCCGTTTCAACCTTCCAATATGCAAGCTTGTAAGACTCTTAAGTAAGGTTCAGTGGCTTTATATGGTAAATAAATTTATCTTGATTTCATTCTCTGGTAAGACGATCTCTCTTTTTTAGTATGGTCTTTACAAAGTTCTCAGCAGTGAAGTGACTAATTGCACTTCTTATTTTCAGGGATCTGCCGGATAATCCTGCTCTTGAATGGGACACACAGCTCCTTGCCGCCTTTGTGCTAAAGCACATAGAAGCCAATAACATCAACCTGGTAATGTGAAACTTTCTACAGCATAGGCAATTTCCACAGTACTTTTGAGTTAGTGTTCTAGGCTTTTTCCTTCCCTTTGGAAGCTTTCTTTGAAGTCTTTAAAATTAGAATTTTGCTTCTGGAGTCTCCGTGAAATAGCCTAGGACAGGGAGATAGTATACATACTCATTTTGAAATACTTGCTTTATAATGTTTATCCATTTCTCTAGCTAGATCTTATGAAGCCTCTTTCGGACTGTAGTGTCACTAACCTTCCCTGAAGTAAAAGCTTCAAATTGGTTAAAAATTGCAGACTTTGTTGGAACTAGTAAGTTTCACTGCAGTAGATCTTGGGGTTCATTAATTGTGGAAGACCCTCTGAATAAGCCCAGCTGAATTTCAGGTCTAAAATGATACCTGACAGCAATTTTGCATTTTGTAGTTTAAGACTTTTTGTATTTGTACAGCTCCTATGTCTTGACAAGTAAGACATGGTCATTCTGATCCTCTTTCAAACACTTCAAACAACTGCTAGAAGTTCAGAACAAATAGAATTGCTCCACTGAAAAATATGGAAAAGGATGATGGTGTAGTTTGGGTGTATATTTTCTCTCTGGAGATCCTTCTTTGCTTCCCAGTGAGAAATGAACAGTGGAGGAATTTTGCTTTACTAACTCTTCAAGTGTTTTCTACATTTTAAAGCAACCATTTTGCCCCTGTTGCTAGGTTTCAGTGATGAAGAGAGCCCGTCTGGGATTTAGGCTTACCTTTAGGCTTAGATTTGAAGTACATTGGCAGGTGTGTTAGAGAGCTAGATTAGCAGAGTTACAGGTTGGGATTGAAGATTATTAAACTGGGGAGATTTCCTAGCACTGGTATAGTTTGTTTTCTGTTTTGTTTTTTTTTCTCCACAGAACAGGAATAAGGGCCTAAACATGGAAAAGGTGGCGTTCCGTTCTTTTCTGTTGAACCTTGCGGTGATCAGACATGTCACTGTCACACACTGATTAGCAGCAAAATCACAAAACTCTTACAGCCTTTCAGCAATTCACAAAACAAGAAACCACATCTGTAGCATGAAAGCCCCATGAGCACAAAACCAGTATCTTGCATCCAACTTTGTATTGATTCTGAGGCTAATTTTCCATGAAATTCATTGCTGTGCACAGAGACAAATGCAGTTTTCCTGGACTCCTTTTGTGCCTTTTGGCGCTGTGAATAGATAGGTTTTAATCTAATCTGAAAGCTCCTGACACAAGAGGATTTGTATTGCATGTTTGTGACTCTCATGGGCACTAGGACAAGTGCACCAGAATCCCAGCAGAAATTCTGAAAACACTACAACTCCTCTAGATGGTTAGAAAGGGTTAGATCTTTGCCTCAGAGAAAATTAAACTCAAGCTGTTTGTGCTGGGGGAGGCAGGAGTCTGCCACTAACATAGCATGAGCTGAAAAATAAAGTGTGCGGTTTTCAAAGAAACATGCGCAGTCACTAGTACTCTCCCTGCTGTGGCTGTAGGAAGAAGGAACACTGTGGCAGGGCCCACTGCGTTCCCCTCAGCACTTCCCTGAGCAGCAGTGAGGACAAATTAGTGTAGCAGAACACATCAGCAGTACCAAAGGTGACTGAAGCAGCTTCTTGGGGACGGTGGTAACGAACTGCTCTGTAAACTTACATTATTTTAAGCGTCCCAGGTAATCACACAGGTCTCAGATGTTTGCTGTAATACCAGTCATTTAGGAGCAGACCTAGTTAGCCAGCAATGGCAAGGCAAGCACCTTTGTTGAACATTCTGCATTTTAAACCTTCAGAGCTTGCTACGTGTTAGCCACTCTTGGAGCATCTCTGCTGTCCTAAGACAACGGCCTTGCCTTGAAAGGTGAACTGAGTCTATTTTTCAGTAGTGTTGGAATTGATAGGATTGGCTTAACATGTTAAAAGAGCCTTTTCAAAATGTAAGCTATAACAGGGTTTCAAACACAACAAGCTAGGTCAACAAAGTCAACATGATTGGAAGACACATACTGTTTTAGCTGTCTCAGTGGGAAAACTTTCCCCAGTTCCCCCCATAGTCACAGCAGAGACAATGGTATCTTTTATTTACAGAACGTATGTGTCATCTGGCAGTGGAGAAGCAGACTGCAATTCCAACATGGCTGAAAGGAAAGATTGCAAGGCAAGGAGTCACACCACATTATGCTTAATTTTGTTCCTTTGCATAGTTACTCATTTCCTTATTTGCCCTGCAAGTCCATGAGTAACTCAGTCTTTTTAGGAACTACAGGGACATATTTCATCCAAACTCTACATTAAATAGTGCAGATGCAGAAATTAACGATTGGGGTACTCAAAGCCAAAACTAATTTATGGACTGTGGAAATTATTTCCTGCCTGCTGGATTTATAAGCAAAAGCCGGTGTTGCTGGGAGAGGCAGCCAAGGCTGGTCTGTCTCGATCCAGATTAGAAAGTATTTGGTGTGTTTTAAAAAAAAGTTACATGGTATTGTGTGATTCCCAGGCAGGCTCTAGATTATGAAATCCTGCTCTTCAGGATCTCAGATTTGGTGATAGCAGAGCTTGGATTAGGAGGTGACATTCATACTGTGTTTGGTGCAGATGCAATGCCAAGACCAGAATTCAGCAATACCATATTCTTACAAGCTGCTTTCTGCTATGGATTGATGGAAACATCATCCATACAACTCTTTGTGGAAGGCTCCCATTGTTTTGGGTCAGCTCCAAATCAGCCTAGAAAGCCAGATCCTTCTACAAATGGCATTCAAGTTGGAGCTTACATCTGAGAGGGTGAATTCAGCTCTCATGTTTTGGATCTTGGTCTCTACACTCCTAAAATTTGGGAGCATTTGAATGTGTGATGTTTGTTGAGGATTTTCAATGCTTTTGCAGAACACCAGATATGGAGTGCAGCATGTGGAGTTTGCTAGAGGAGGCAACAGAGCTGGGACAGGCTTTTGCATCGCTTTCCTTCCCTTCCTCACTTATGTGGTAGTCTCCTCAGGTGTGCTTTGGGGTACATGAGTGGGAGGCCCCCAGGACCTTTCATTCTAAGAGCTGGTGCATGACTTGCACACTTGCGACTGAAACCCTGTGGACACTGCGATGTTGATCACAATTAGATTTTTCCATTTTCACCCAGTTGTCCATTCTTTTTAATATTTAGCTTCTCTGATTTAGTATCAATGAGAGACATCTCCAAACACACAAAAGACTCAAAGGGAGTTTGAATGTCACTGGCCTCTGCAAGTGTAAGTCAGGCCTATGAAATGATGCTCAGAGGAAGGCCATTAGAAATGCAGTTGCTTGCTATGGCGCTTTATGGGATGGCCCTTCTTAAAAAGGAAAGAGACCTTTCTATCCCCACCAGTCTACTTGAGCAGATGTGTGCTCTATTTGAAGCAGTGGATGACACCAGAAAAAGTGAGGGAGACCCACAGCTTTGAGTGCTTTTTTCCTCCGATGCACATGGTGTGTAGAGGGAGCATGGACTCCAGACCTCTCAGGAGTTTTCTCTTCAGCTAGTAATTGAGTAATTTCCTCTGTGCTCTCCCGCCTCCGGAAGGGATTTCTGGAGATGTTTGTGTTGGCTGTTGCTCTGGCTTCCACTAGTGAAAGCTCCATTTCCTGAATACCAAGGTCACCCAGAAGAAAACCCAGCACCACCAACGGCAGCGGCTCCCATTTCAGAACAGGTGTGGGGAGGGAACTCCCTCTTGCCCTAAAGATTTCATTGAGCAATAATTTCCACATCAAGTATATTTCCTATCCCAGTCTTTTGCTCCCAGAACTGGCTAAGCTTGTTTTTAACCCAGACAGTTTCAAGATGTTCAAGTTTTCTCATCCTGCCCTGATTGTTTGCTTGATTTCATCATCAGCTTGGTGCAGGTTATGTGTTAAAAGGAAACATACCAGCTAGCTGCACCACGTGGAAGAAGCAAATGCTCCCGTGTGAAAATATCTTCAGCATGTGAGAAAGAAAAGCAGAGTTGTTATCCATGAAATGAATCCCTGAAGCCAGGGGAATATATTTACATGTGACTGCCGCCTGCTTTAAGTCATGAGGACCACAGTGGTGCCGTGGAATCAGTGCCCTGTTTAGACAACAGACCTAGAAGCTACATACTGGATAGGTGGGACATCACTGTGTCAGAGCCAGCCTGTGCGCTGGTAGGGATCTCTACAGGTGAAGAGCCAATATTTCAAAGGTAGTCTCTGCAGATAAAGTGAATGCCACTGTGGCCAGGTCGGTGTGCAGATACCTTGGGAATTGTACCTACAAATTTGTATATTTGAAGAGACAGACAATTCAGGTGCAAATGTTCTAACAGTAAATTGAACAACATCAATTGAAGATTAACTCCATGCCATCTCTTTAGCTAGTTCAGACATTCAGGTGCAAATGTTCTAACAGTAAATTGGACAACATCAATTGAAGATTAACTCCATGTCATCTCTTTAGCTAGTTCAGACGTTATGTAAGCCCAGCAGCACTAAGAACAGCAGCTCCTATTTCAAAACAGATGTGGAGAAGAAAAACCTCCGAAGGTGTTTCTGAACAGATAATTTCCATGTCAAGAATATTTCCTAACCCAGCCTTGTGCTCCCACAGTTGGCCTGAGCCAGTTTTGTCAAAACAACGATTAGCTTATTTAGTCTGCTCACTATAGTCTCTTATCTCGGTCTTCTGGTTTGTTCCCTTGTACCCTCCATAGAAGGAAAAATGTGTGTTTTGGCTTGCCTGGGTTTTTTAGCTTGGTTTCCTAAGGAAACAAGAATAATGCAATTGTATTTATATGTGTGTACATATGCATGTTTCAAAACACTTTAGAGCCCATTGGCTAATTTCAGCCACATTTGACAGCAGGGTAGTAGTCTTAAAAATGATATGTTTGTACAGGTTACATGAAAATAAATGACCAGGCAGAAGAGACAAACCCTCTCTCTGTCCCTGTTTAGTAAAAACATTTAGCGCAAGTCCAGCCCTTAGCAGACTCACACTATTACTCACCTGCATAGGAATTTATTCTGCCTGCAGTGAGTGGGGTACATTGTCATCTTAGGAAAGTGCCACTCTAGGTAGGAGTGACTTCAGAGCATGTTTTTTCTTATCTGTAAAATACAGGGTGCTATGCTCATTCCCTGAGCTGTACAGAAATTAATAATGTCTTTCCCAGATGAACTACTCAAAGAGCTGATATCCTTAGGGAGGGCTTAGCACTGTGCCGGACCATGCAATCCCTGCAGAGAGCCTCTCAGGTACTGCTGATGTACAGCAAAAGCAGCCAAAGCCAAAGACATCATTTTTCTCCTCATAAAGTAGAGGTTGACCAGAAAATGCTTCTTTGTACCTGAGCAAAACCAAATTGGGTCCCACCACTTCCTGCCCACAATGAATAACCCCGCTGCTTGGTGACAGCATTATTACAGCCACTGGGCAAAGTGGAAAGTCTAACTGTGGACTTTTACTGGGTGGATGGGTTTATAAGCAGGCTTGTCTGGAGTTTGTGGGTTTTGAAGTATTTCTTATCACTGTCTTTGTGTTTCCTCTCCCTCTTTACACAATATCCCGTATGTTTGAGAGGGCCTGTCCTGTTGGAGGGTGGAGTAGCAAGTTGCAGGACGGGCAGGGCGGCTTTTGATCTTCCCTTGATCTTTAACCCAGTACTTCAGGCCCTGCATATAAAATAGGTTTTGAGAAGAGAGCTGTGGTGAGTAAGCAAGGCAGTAGCATTTCCTTCCCTGAAGAAAGAACAAGCTGGCAAGGAAGCAGACATTGATTGAAATGTGGGGAGGTGATGATTTCTTCCTGGTCAGAGAGAAAGGAGCTGTGTAAAGCTCTGCTGCCTGGCCTCTCCCAGAGCAAAAACCTAACTTTAGACTGTCCAAGGACTGTCACCCTCTGGAAAGCTTAGCAGGACACATACCCTGTCTGCTCTACACTTTATGCTGCCAGTTTGTCTTCTCAGTTGGAAGCTGGAGCCTTTAAGTACCCGCTTGACAGTACTGTGCAGAGTGAGCCCTTGGGGTGGGTGCTTCACCCCTGACACTTTATTGGTAGGTCTGAGGGCAGGGAGCCAAGGGTATTCTGTGCTGTGACGGTGACTTGTTAGTGCTGTGTTCATGAATTACTTCTGCATTATGAAGTTCCCATTTCTTCCTGCAGAGAAGCAATAAACAATATGATCTTCTCCTTCAGCAAAAAGCCTGATTTGGTTGTACAAAAACTGCAGTCAGCTGATTGTTTAAAAAGGCTTATATCAGATTATTTTATCACTATGTTATCCTGTGATGAAGCCTCGGGACAGTGGTACGATTGTGTTGGTCTTGTTAAAGCAGTATGTCCTGATTCACAGTACAACAAACTATAGTTTCACCCTGTAATCCGCAGGCATTCTGGTATGTTCTCAAATCCAGGAGAGAGTGATTCATAGAGCTGGACCTCTTGGGTCAGGAACAAGTTTACAACAGATCACTCTAAAATTAACCTTTTGGCCGGGTAATAAGTAACAAGTGCATCCTGCCAGTGGGAACACGGTGTTTATCATCTTTCTGTTGTTCAAGCTGGTAGACTGTGTAGTCATCTCGTTCCAGAGTGTCTTGTTTGTTTAGTTGTATTTCTGTAGCATGAGTTTGCACACAAGGCCTCATTGTGCAACACAAAAACAACTCTTTAGATACAATAGGCTGGGATGGTGCTGTGTTGGGTGTCAAAGTTGGTAACTGCACAGTCTCTTTCTTCAAAATTATTATTGTTCTGTGGTTTTATTGCAGGTGGTAACCTTTGATGCGGGAGGAGTGAGTGGTCATGCTAACCACATTTCTCTTTACACTGCTTTAAGGTACAGTGTTCTGCACACTTAATTGAATGCCTTACTATAGCATTACAGAGTGAACGTGGCATTTGTGTGTAAGCAGAAAACTAACAGCTAGAGCCAAAAGCAGTATTAACTTCACTGATATAACTGAGTGCCAGACTATGGGACACAATACTGATTGGAGAAACTCTCACAGCTCTGTAAATGACCTACAACATCCTTTATTGTTCCATCTGCTCATGCTTTGCCAGTCTCCCTTTCGCTGGGCCTTCTTTTCTCTTCCTGTCCTTGATCCCACTAAAATACGCCAGAGATCACTTTGCACTTCTGGTTTGAGGAGAGTGTATGAATAGCTGATGCCTGAGCTGGTGGTAGTTGGATTTTGGAAAGTTCTGCGCCATTGTTCCAGAGGATGTTGCCATCCTGTCCAGGTACCTGAATTTACCCCTCTGACCCAAGGACATTCCTCTTTCACTG